ATCTCATTCACCTTGCATTAGCATTAAGCTGGAATCGCAGCTGATTCATGCTGGGACTTGGAATCAAACAATCACCCACGCACACAGTTTTCAGCCTCATGACATTGAGTTATTATTATTATTATTATTATTTTTATTATTCAACAAATGACACATTTTTTATTTATTATTATTTTTTATTTAACTGCACATAAAATTGTATTTTAATAAATTATCCAAAGGAAAAAATACAAATATATATATATAATTAACTGCCATTACTACAAACACAAACATGTCTGCTAACTTTCTTGTAATTTAACTGTGACATATTTCTTTTAGCTGGGAAACACACTGCCAACACCCACCGCCTCTCGGCCTTGGTGACCCCCGCCGGGCACGCATATGTGTGCGCAGCACAGCAGACCCTCAGGCTCATCTCAAGCGACCACCAAAAAGGCATCACACTCTCCATGTACGACATCCAGATCCAGCCCTTTGACATCGCCTCTGACTTCATATTCAGTGAACGTAAGAACAACCTGCATGGGAAAAAAACAACAGTCACCACATGCAGAAGCACATACTGCACTAATTGTGAGATAAGGGTTGTGTGTGTGTGTGTGTGTGTGTGTTTTCCCCTCCCTCGTTGACACAGGCACAGTCACAGCTCTATAGAGCAAATGCTGCAGTGTAAGGCTACTTTAGGCTGCAGAAAAGGAGACAAGGGAACAAAGGGGGTGGGTGGGGGTGGGTGTAGATGCAAGAGAGACACAGAGAGCGGTGAAGTCATTAGGACTTTACGAGTACAGTAATATCTTCACCCTCAGTGCAGCTTTTATAGACACATACTCAATGAACCTGACTGTCCTCTGGAGCCAATCACCTTGGAATTATTTGCCCTGAGCTGCTGTGAACTTGGTGTTGCTGCACTGCCGTTGTCCACAGAGAGGCTTCAGCTGTAAAACAACATTCACATTAAGTGTTTGGTTTCATCCTCAGTTGTTTATTTAGAGGACACCAATACACTAGGTTTTTGTTCTCTTTATTTATTGTACAGTGTGTACCACTTGTGTTTCCAGTGCAATACTTGATGCAAAATTAGTATAGTTGGATAAATAAAGGAGAGGGAAAGTATTTGACATCCAGAAATGCTAATGTAAGTACATACTGAAGTTTTAAGTAGTACTATACTGGGCACATACATACACACACCAGGCCTGCAGCATGTACCCCATATTCCTTTACCAACTACATTGATGCTAGGTATCTGTTGGAGGAGATTACACAAGCACATTTAATATTAATTAATTAATTAAGTACACATTATTGATCATTCAAAAATATATATTTTACATTTATTATCATTAAAATTAGCCATGGAAATTCAAGTCTTAAAATGTATTGTTATTGTTAATTGTTAAAATCTTGTAAAAAACAGGCCTTCTTTTATATGTTTCTTTGTTTGTTTTTTGACTTATACAGCTTACAAGTGTATCACTGACCAGCGGGAGCGGCTTGAGGAGATACTCCCCCTCATCCTAGGCCTCATTTTGGGTCTAGTAATTGTCATCATGCTCACCATCTACCACTTCCATCTAAAACTGACAGCGACCCAGCCTCAGCTCCCCAGAGATCGCTCCATGTACAAGAACATGTAGTCTGCAGCAGAGCCACGACTCCCTCTGCTCTCTCCAAAGCCAATCCAATAACAGACTTTTCTTCTCGACGTCCCAGACCTAACACCACAGAGAAAAATGGCCTGAAGTGAACTGATCCTCTGATAGGTGAGTGAAGCCTGTGTCGAGGTCCCACTGAAACTTTCCAACAGCCAAAAATCAAGTTATTGGGACAACTTGGGGCAAGATGAATGAACCTGGAGAGTCAACCTGCCGAGATCAAATCAGGCTGGCTGCTGAATTTAATCTCAATGCCATAAACGTATTGTCTGCATTACAATGAAAAGAACTTTAGTAAAGATAAATCATTTATGCTTTTATGAAAAAACAAATATATATATTCAAACTGCTGGGTGACACCTTAAACCATAAACCTGAGATTTTTTTCCTCCCTGATTTCACTGAGACTTAAAGAAGTTTTTGCTCAACTTGTCTTTTAAAATTAGCATCACATGTCGATGTGCTCATGGCCTGAGCTTTGCTTTTGTGTCCTTCCTCTCTTTCACTGGTACTACTGCTGCATTAATCAACATGTGTTGTGGTTTCTGTATTTGTGAACCCTTTTGAACAAATGTTTTTGTTCAAATGTCCCAGTTCTTTCATTCTCGAATGCAGCCATATAGTGTTGATAGTGGACAAGTTTTGTGTGTTTGCCGTGCTGTGGCATTCGGTCTTTCAGAGTTGCAGTGTTTTTGCGTTCACTTAAAAAAAAGAACTTGATACATAAGTGTGGAAAAGTGTGGTCTTTTAAATGAAAGGAAAGTTCTGACTAAACTCCAGACCCAGTGTGAAAAAAACAGAAGCCACATGAGGTTATAAAAAAACAGTTTGTGTATTTTAAGAAGTCTATGCATAAACCTCTGCTTATGCAAATGTGTGCTGTATTCTTCTGTTCATGAAAATAAAGTACCGGACTAAACTCTGCAGCCTTGTCTAACATCCATCACTTTACTGGAGGACGGTCAGTCTTCACTCATCTGAGTCTTTACACAGACATGTGACGGAAAATTTGACTGATGTGAGAAGAGAAGAATAGAGCATTGATTTTGTTGTTTGTGTCTGCACTATAAAAGTAAATACAGGTTTCCACTATATATATATATATATATATATATATATATATATATATATATATATATATATATATATATATATATATATATATATATATATATATATATATATATATATATATATATATATATATAAAGTATAAATATATATTATATATATATATAAATATACAAGTATATATATATATATATATTAGTTCTTGATTAGCAGCTACAAGATAATGTGCAATCACCATTCACTGAAAGGTTGTTCCGTTACACCAAAAATGCCACAGATGTGTTCATGTTTTTTTATCTATCTGTCTGTCTATCTATCTGACTATCTGTCTATCTGTCTATCTGTCTATCTGTCTATCTGTCTATCTGTCTATCTGTCTATCTGTCTATCTGTCTATCTGTCTATTATAGATAATAATAGTTCTATAATAATATAATAATTATATATTATTGTGTATACAATACGCTAGTTATACGCTACGCTAGTGTAGCGTAGGAACACATTTTATGATGAAATTAAACTTAGTTTAAACACTCGCTTAGTAGTAAAAAAACAGTTTTTTAGCAAAGTCACTAAAACGTTGATGCATGTGAAAAAGTTGCATGAATTTATATCGTTATTTTATTTTTTAAATTCGCTTTCCTTCTATCGAAAGACATCTTTTTTATTCATGTCCCACGAGGCCAGTGTAGCTTTGTTCGCTTTATCTCCACCAACGAGATCCGGCCAAAACGTCGATGAGTGAAGATGCACGTTTGAGCCACAAGAGGGCGTAAACCTATTGCCTTAAATATTCAGCCACACATGGAGAAGACAACCCTTTGGAGGGAACTAGTTCATATATGCAGTTGCACGTTTGGGCCACAGGAGGGCGAATCGTGCAGACAACCTAATGGCCGGACCTCGTTGTTGGCGGAGCTAAACCGAACAACCGACCGCATTACCAGACAAGATTACATCATAAATGTGTTCCTACGCTAAACTGCCCTCGTGGAACATGAATAAAATAGATATCTTTCGATAGAAGAACAGCGAAAAGAACGCTCTTCGTTTAAACTCGCTTTGTAGTAAAAAAAAAAAAAAAAAAAACCCTTTTTGTTACTTTTCCAGAAATATATTCTTTTATAATCCCCAGTTATCCAATGGTTGGATATTGGGTCAACATACAAAACAGTAATTTCTTTAAAAAAAAAAAAAAAAAAATTAGCAAAGTCACTAAAACGTTGATGCATGTGAAAAAGTTGCATGAATTTATATCGTTATTTTATTTTTTAAATTTGCTGTTCTTCTATCGAAATATATCTTTTTTATTCATGTTCCATGAGTGCAGTGTACCGTAGGAATGGTTGTTGTGTTTAGCTTCACGAACAACGAGGTCCGGCCAAAGCGTCGATGAGTGAAGTTGCACGTTTCAGCCACAAGAGGGCGTTACAATAACCTATTGGCCACCGGAGAGCGAATCGTGCAGACTACCTAATGGCCGGACCTCGTTGTTGGCGGAGCTAAACCGAACAACCGACCGCATTACCAGACAAGATTTCATCATAAATGTGTTCCTACGCTAAACTGCCCTCGTGGAACATGAATAAAATAGATGTGTGGATAATATTTAAGCCAATAGATTATCGCCCTCTTGTGGCTCAAACGTGCAACTTCACTCATCGACGTTTTGGCCGGACCTCGTTGTTGGAGCTACGCTACACTGCACTCATGGAACATGAATAAAAAAAAGATATATTTCGATAGAAGAAAAGCGAATTTAAAAAATAAAATAACGATATAAATTCATGCAACTTTTTCACATGCATCAACGTTTTAGTGACTTCGCTAAAAAAAACTTTTTTTTTCTACAAAGCGAGTGTTTAAACGAAGTACGTTCTTTTCGCTGTTCTTCTATCGAAAGATATCTATTTTATTCATGTTACACGAGGGCAGTTTAGCGTAGGAACACATTTATGATGTAAACTTGTCTGTTAATGCGGTCGGTTGTTGGTTTAGCTCCGCCAACAACGAGGTCCGGCCATTAGGTTGTCTGCACGATTCGCCCTTCGGTGGCTCAAACGTGCAACTGCATATATAAACTAGTTCCCTCCGAAAGGTTGTCTGCTCTGTGTTGGCTCATGGCGGTCATGTAGTCACGGGAAAACCCCAGGAACACTATATCAACCTGGCAGCCATTTTACTCACTATCCCTTCTTAATGAATAATTTTGCGTTAACATACTATTATCTGAAAAAAGTCAATAATATGGCAAG